CACACTGATTATACAGTATGGGTTCTTGTCTTTTCATTCCAAAAGACATGCTCTAAAAATGCAAAGTGTCTACATATACAATAAACATGTCAAGAATGTAACTGAAAAGCAGTAAACATGCTTTTGAAAACCTGTTTTCCATATTTTGAATCTCGGTTAAACACTTTGGCCTGGTTTTTCCTGCTTTGTGAACTCTATTACTGTAAATCCGAACTGCTTCATTTATTCAAACAGATACTGAATCCATGGCTCATTTAATTTGTTCATTTTCTTGTGTAAGCCGTTATGGGTCGTGTAATTTATTTTGTATGATGAATAAGTGTGCAAGTAAATTAATATTACTAACCAACTGTTGATAACAGTTCAAAAACATGACTACAAAATGAACCAATGTTGAATGGGCCATTCATAAAATCAGGGATGTACTTGAGTAATCGAATTCTACTTCTGTACTAAAGTATTCTTTTGGATAATTTGTACTTTAATAACTGTTGAAACACTTTTCAACTACAAACCAATTTACCTATTTACTTTTCTTTAAAGGGATAGTTCACCCAAAAATGAAAATGTCACCATCATTTACTCACTCTCATGTTGCTCCAAACCTGTACGAGATTTTTTTTTCTGTGGAACACAAAAAAAAGCTCTAATGTTGTTTGGATCCCAAAGTTGCTTAAAAACATCTTCTCTTGGGTTCTGCAGAAGTGAGAAATCCATACAGGTTTAGAACAATATGAAGGTAAGTAAATTATGACAGAATTTTCATTTTTGGGTGAGCTATCCCTTGAAGTAAACAGGTCATCGTGACTTTAATTTGTTTCTCTTGAAGGAGAGATTTTTTTAAGGTGAAAAAAGTTCACCTTACAGAACTAACAAGCCAATTAATTTTTCTGCACTTACTTTTTAAATCCATATGAGTGTACAAAGTTATAGGAAATGTATAAACAACAGCCGAAATTAATAAATTCAGAACAGGTTTCAGGAAATACATTACCTTTCAAAAGTTTAGGGTTGCTAAGGTTTTGTATTTTTTTTAAAAGAAATTATTAATACGTAAATTGAAGCATCCAGTGTGGTATTCAACTCTCTTATTCATAAAAGAATATAGGAAAAAAGTCATTTGATTTAAACAAAAATATTAATCAGCACACCATGGTTTTCAAAACTGATAATAATGCGAAATGTTTCTTGAGCACCAAATCACCATATTAGAAAGATTTCTTAAGCATCATGTAAGACTGGAATATTGCATGCTGAAAAAGTATGTTTTAAAATGACAGTAATATTAAAGTTATTCAAAGGAAGTATATTCAAACAGAACTGTAATTTCTTAAATTGTATAATAATATAATATTACTGCATTTTTAATAAAATAAATGCATCCTTGGTGGACATGAGACATTTTTCAAAAACATTCAAAAATCTTACTGACCCCAAACTTTTGAATGGTAGTGTAAGTTCAGGATAGTATATAGTACATAAATGTCTGCCTCGCTCAAACAGCTTCTAAACGTTATTTGTAATGGATTATACATGATCATTTAAGAGTGACATTTTGCAAAGAACATGCTAAGAATATATGTTGTTGGTCTAAAAAAAAAAAAAGTCAGCAAGTTTCCACTTTCCACATTTGTTTGCAGTCAATTTTGACACTTTCTCACAAGCTAGATATACCACATTAAGGATAACCTTATGTTCCTATGTCATATAAAATGCTTTTAAGTAATATGTAAAAACTAATATGTACCTGTAGATCATTTTGGTGTTGGCGCCTACTGATTCCAGTAAAGAGTACCCATGGATCTGCAAGAAATGCCCCAGCTGCTGCAGCTCCAGGGCAGAGTTGGATCTGCCTTCCCAGTGGGGACAACCTGCTGTGTGGTGTGAGCTCAATCCTGTCCCTTGTCTCTGGAGGAAGCGGCCTGGGGTTCTCTCAGAACGCTGAGCAATCCTCGGCCTAGGGACGTGAATGTCGCTGCAAGCTGCCTTGTACAGGTACATTTTGCTGAAACTCACCCAAATGTGCAATGCGGTCATAAAGATGAGAGAACTTTTCCACCTTGGCAGTTTTATATGAATACACAAACCTATCAGTCTGTGCAAACAGCTGCGGCCAGCTCAGGCCAATCCAAATACAGGACATCACACATGGAATTGTAATCCTTTAGTACCATCCAGTCATGGGTTTTCTGACTTCATGGCATTACAGTGAACAATGGGAGATAGAATTGTAAGTCATCTAAAATCCTCATGTTCCCTGTGTGACTGTAGTCAGAAAAAATCCCAAATCTCTGGGTAACCACCCACACATGCTCACACAAAAACAAACACACACACACACACACACACACAGGTGGCAGCGGCAGCTGGATCTACAACTCAATTACTTCCCTAATTCCAGAAATGAACATCTAAACACATAGCTTTCAAAAGCATCGTGTTATTATGACACGGCATTATTCTTGGTCATTTGTTAATTAGATAACAAAATCAGCTCTTGCATGGGTTCTGGCGCTGTCTGGCATCAACGCTGACTGCCAGCTCCTTTGGTGGGATAAGCTGGGAAAAGCTTCGGCCATATTTCTGACACCAGATCAGATCAGTGGAATGGTATGAAGAGAATTTCAGCCAGAACACACATATGAGATGGCGCAACATGGCTCTTATAACCTCTGTTTCTACACAATGATAACAGCCTTTTCTATTAGATGATGCTCACATTTTTTTTTTTTTTTGTTCTGTGTGCTCCTCGTCCTCCCTCTATGAAGCTCAAAAATTCTTATTTAAATAATTTCAAACTCAGAATCACAAAAACATGTTAACAGACCAAAATGTAGAATGTCTTAAATATGGCATAATCAAATTCTGACTAATTTTAAAAAGACTTTTTTTCTCAGTTCAGACTTGCCTATGTAAATTTGTTCTCAGTTTAGGACCACCTACGAATATTTGTTTTCAATTCAAGCTCGCCTACGACTACTTGTTCTCAATTCAGCCTCGCCTACGCAGATTTGTTCTAAATTCAGACTCGCCTACATAGATTTGTTCTCAATTGACAGTCGCCTACAAAGATTTGTTCTCAGTTTAGACTCCTCTATGTAGATTGGTTTTCAATTCAGACTCACATGGGTTTGTTCTCAGTGTAGACTCACATACACAGGTTTGTTCTTAATTCATAATTACGTAAACAGATTTGTTCTGAATTCAAGCTTTAATGGTCTTGCATTTGAATTCAGACTCAACTAAACAGATTTGTACTCCAATACAGACTCAGTACATATGAAAATCAGTACGAAATCTGCCTTAAGCAACCTGAAACACAACAGCTTCAACAGATAGAAAATCTCCAATATGGTTGCACTCAAATTCAAATACATCTGTTTGCAAATTTAGATGCACAATTCAGACTCAAACTAATTTCTATTGAAATTCAGACCAGTTCTCGATTTAGACTCACAGTGGTATAACAGCAATTCAATTTAGGAATGCTGAGAATGGCAGAATAAGACAGTGAAGGGTTCTCTACAGAGTGTACATATAAGAAGACTGAGGGGCTGAGGAAAGATGAGAGAGTCTCTGAATAATCTTTTTGTGAAAAATATGGGAAACAGAAAGAGATCTATAACCATAAAGAAAGAATACCGCAGAGAATGAGAGAAAGATATGGAAGTGCAGAGAGAAACTACATGAATGGAATACTGATAACTAGCTTGACAGATCCCCCTATAACTGCTGCAGGCAACAAATTCAGCTGTGACAATGACTTAGTAAACCTCCACACATGCTTACAGACACATACACACACAATCAGTTTCCCTGACTGATGCGGGCTAATAGACGTGGATCTCACATGTCTCAAAATGGGGATGGGGATTTCTTTAATAAAAATTTTATTTCTTAAATGGGTCATGACATAGGGTCATGACATGAGAAACCAAATTTCCCTTGATCTTTTGACACAGAAGTGGACATTGTATGCTTAATACATCCTGCAAGTTTCATAACTTAAAATGTCCTCATCATCATAAAAAAAAAAAAAAAAAGAAGCATTTATGTAATAACCTTTAGAAAACCGCTTGCTTGGATCCAAGGTGCCAGGTGACGTCACAAGGATGCAGGCGTTTGCATAAACACTGCCTCCAGAGCAAGACAGCGATGAATAGTCATCTTTTTACCATAGGCCCCACCCACTGGCGTATATTAAAATAGTAATTTAAAAAATCCATGGCATGACTCCTTTAAATAATCTTAAATTATGTTTTGAAAGTTTGCTACTAGGATTAGTATCCTGGGGGATATAGAGATTTGAACCCTGTGGAGAGGGAACGTGAGTGAGTGAACCTAATTTTTCATAAGAATATTGAAAAGTGGGTCTCTGCAAATACTCAGGTCAAGTGACTTGATATAAAGATTCGGTCATCAACTCAACATCCTTATCTAAAATTAACATGGCAGCATGCTTTGAGAAGACCACTGATCTCAAAATAATAAATGTTGACTTCTCATTATTTAACTGGCATATAAAAACTAAAATAAATAAAAGTTATATTTTAAAGAGACGACTCTGAACAAATTAATTATATGTTTTCCTTGACATTCATAAGAAGCATTAATCCAACACCATCTGTACATTTCTGCTGATCACAATTTATATACAAAAAAAAAAAGGCCAGTTTGCTCACTCAAGAAAGTTGCACTAAACCAGAAAACTCCAGAATACAGGTTTTACCTATTCTGTTCTTTATGTGCAATGTATGTCTGCCATCTGCTGTCTGATATACTTGGTACTGCAAAATGGCAAAGAGAGAAGTTCTAAAATGTTCAAGTACATGATACTTTATTCTTTTTAAATGTATAGTATTTAAAAATTGTTTTAAAATACAACGATCTCAGTTGAGACTTTGCATCGATAGTGTTTTTGTAAGTTTTACGCCATGTTATTCAAATAAGAAAACGCCGAGTGCAGTCACCATGGAAACGCTAAACAAAGTACCCGGAAGAGCAGCGTAGCGACGCCTTACCAAACTAAGCACAAAGAAAGTTTATATAAAACTCACCTTCATCTTCCAGTCCAAATTTATCGAATAACAGAGATGGAGGGTCTCGCGTCCGTGCATGATCTCCAGGCGCTGTCCGCTCTTCTCTCCCCAAACCATGAAGATGAGGAAGAAGATCTCCAGGTTTGAACCTCTAACAAGCGCTGTTTTACACTGTCGACTGTTAAACGTTTGCGTAAGGATGTAAGTCGCTGAATTATCCTTTTATTTTTTAGCAAGTGAAGCCCATGGCGAGGATGGGCCCGGGACATATCGGCTCTCCTGCTGCACTTTCGGAAAAAAAGACCAAAGAGGGTATAACGTTACTGTATTTATACTGTATATCATAGATGTAATGCAATAATATGTAATATATAAATATAAATAGATTTTATAATACATATTTAAAAGTTATTTTATATAAATATGTAGAATAATACAAATATTTAATGGATGATTTCATGTTTTATTTACATTATAAATAATTTACATATTTTGAAATCGTTATATAATTTCTTTGAATTTGTTAAAAATTGTCACATGTTTTGCTATTGTCATGCTGCTATTTATGGGTTCACGTTTGAGAATATTAAAGCATCCTTCTATATCCTTTTTATCTCTCTCTTCCCTCTAGGTAGCACTGCCTATGTGAAGAAGAACAGCAAAAACATCTGGGATGAGGATGAAGTGACTGAGGGAGCACATTTTGATGACCTCACCGACCCACGGCCACAGCCAGAGTAAACAATTTGAGTTGAATTACTGAAATAAATGAACTTTTCCACGACATTCTAATTTATTGAGATGCACCTGTATGCATGGCAGAATCACATATGAGCTGTAAGTTAGCTGGACTCTCACTGTATGTTTTTGTTTGTTTAGGTACGAGATTGTGCTGAAACAGTCTGTTGGGACTGAAGATTTGTTTCTTGGCTTGAGCAGAAAGGACCCCTCATCCATGTGTTGTGACAGCATGCTGGTACTCCTTATTATTAACTCATTAAATCTTAAACATTAATACAACATTCAGCAAATACTATAGCATCTTTATTAGAGTTATTAAATAAAGTGTTAGCAAAGCTACATTTACTTCCAAGAATAAATGACCCAAAAATTACTCACCCTCAAGCCATCCAAGATTAGTTTGTTTCTTTATTGGAACAGATTTGGAAAAATTTATCATTACACCACTTGCTCACCAGTGGATCCTCTGCAGTGAATGGGTGCCGTCAGAATGAGAGTCCAAACAGCTGATAAAAACATCACAATAATCCGAAAGTAATCCACACAACTTCCGTCGATCAATCAATGTCTTGCCAAGTGAAAAGCTGTGTGTTTGTAATAAAACAAATCCATCATTAAGACATCTTTAACTTTAAACCATTGCTTTTGTCTTTTCATCTAAAATATTCCTATATATATATATATATATATATATAATTACTTTCTCCAGTGAACAGGTCATCTCGTCTGAATATTTATAATTATATGACTCGTATTTTGGCCAGAAGTGATGGTTTAAAGTTAAATGTCTTAATGTTGGATTTTATTTCTTCCAACCACAAAGCTTTTCACTTCACAAGACATTAATTTCTGGACTGGAGTCATGTGGATTACTTGTGGATTATTGTGATGCTTTTATCAGCTGTTTGGACTCTCATTCTGACGGCACCCATTCACAGCAGAGGATCTATTGGTGTGGAAGTGATGTAATTCTAAATTTCCCAAAATCTGTTCCGATGAAGAAACAAACTCATCTATATATTGGCTGGCCTGAGGGTAAGTACATTTTCAGCAAATTTTCATTTTTGGGTGAACTATTCGCTTAAGAGTTGCATGGACCTTTCTGAAGAGTTAGTTACTGTTCACTTAAATGCAGAGTGAGTAGCACAACTGTTAAGAAATATTGAGTAAATTGTAATCTCAACTCTAAGTATTGTGGATTTCCACACTATAAATTCCAAACTTTTTAAACTAATTTAAAGTTTCAAAGATCTAAAGCTTAAAATTCAGTAATGAGATTTAAGCGAAAGAAAAAACGGCTGGGGTTTGAAACAGCCTTTCTCCTCCGTGAAAGAGATAGAGTTGGCTTTGATGGTGCATTAAATACAGATAGCAAAGGCTGATTGGAATAAAAGCATTTGACTGTCCTCAAATTACTGAGCTGATCTTCATTTTAAAAGTTGTATTATCAAATTAATCTCACAAAATCTCTTTTTTTTTTTTCCTCATGCAAGGTAAGAGTTAAACTGCCAGATACAAAAGCATCGGATTTGGTGCTGGATGTGAGAGAGACATTTCTTGATCTCAGAACTCCAAAGTAGTAAGTAAACTAGTAGGAAAATATTTTAGATCTAGTATTCACTACATATGTAAATATCTGTGCATCTTGTTTGTTTCAGTAAGTTGGGCCTTCACCTGCCTCACCCAGTGCACAAACAGGAGGGGAATGCCAGATTCATTGTGGAGAGAGAAGAACTGGAGATCACACTGCCCATGAACAGACCAATGGACTGCATCAACCTGACCTGAGAGAAACACAGAGAGAGAGTGACTGAACCATGAGCTGCATCAGTTCAGAATAGACAGTGTGGACAACTTCTACAGATACAGTTCTGCAGCCTTTCACTGACAGTCTTGAATCCAACCCATGAAACATGACCCATGAGTTACCTCACTTATCAATTAACACTAGAACCAGGAAACAAACACGAAATGTTTCCAAATCAAGTCAATCCAAGTGGAAAGGAACAGGTGCCTGTGTAAGAATATATTGCTGTCCAGTTATTCAGTATTATAAAACTGTTTTAATTCTCTTGTAAGTTTAGGCATAATAAAATGGTGAATCCTTTTAATTCAAGATTGCTTCTCTTTATGTTTTCAAATAATAGTTTAAAGCAAACTGTATAAATTATACAACTGTAATGGCTTAGCTAGTAAGAAGATTTGACCAGAAACGTGACACTGGACCACAAAATCAGTCATAAGAGATTATACATACATAATGAGATGTATACATAATCTGAAAGCTGAATAAATAAGCTTTCCATTGATGTATGGTTTGTTAGGATAGGACAATATTTGACCAAGATACAACCAGGCTATTTGAAAATCTAGAATTTGAGGGTGTAAAAAATCTAAATATTGAGAAAATCGCCTTTAAAGTTGTTCAAAAGTAAGTCCTTAGCAACGCATATTACTAATCAAAAATTAAGTTTTGATATATTTACAGTAGGAAATTTACAAAATATCTTCACAGAACATGATCTTTACTTGATATCCAAATGATTTTTGGCATAAAAAAATCATTTTGACCCATACAATGTATTGTTGGCTATTGCTACAAATATGCGACTCATGACTGGTTTTGTGGTCCAGGGTATCTAGAACTCATCTTAATAAGACATATTATCCGGAGATATAGAATAACAACTGGTATTTATATGCATTTTATGCAAGTTGTTCACTATACAGTTATAAAGATCTCACTGATTTACATTACATGCTTATCAGAATTACTTAGAAGAACTTATATTTTGGCCATACAAATAACAGCAATTGCATCGAATTACATATTTGTCTGAGCAAAATTATATCATGGGAGCCACTGAAGCCTGATGTATCAACTATGATACAAAAAAAAAGCAAACTTAATTTTTTTTTAATATATTTTTTTTATTTTGTCTAAAGGTTCCATAAACTGTTCCATTTCAGGATAATTTTTTTTGTTTAAAAAAAAATCTATTATTTAATGTCATTCTTTACAGTGTTAAATCCTCAAAGCAGTCCCTGACTACACTACCTCACTAATCATAGGCAAAGACGAAAATCTTAATATTCACGACTGCACTGTTTTATTTGATCACATTCTTCTAATGAGCAGCCTAAAAGAACAGATACATGCTTTATTACTGGTGTTTACTATAGGCATTTTTAAAGTAAACTGTAGAAGAATGTGCTTCATTTCTGCCTGCACACATTTGTGAGAAGACACACCTCTTGTGTATACAATGATCTTAGAAATGGCTGTAGGTGACAGAATAAACAGCGTGTCGTGCGTTATTGCTCATGGGCATCATGCAATACATCCCCCGAGCGCACGGATGCGCACACGCGTTGCCACAGCAGCGGACGTACTCTTGACGCAGGCGGGCTCCACACACTCTCTCCGGTAGCACAACAATACAAGCTCCCGCCGCTCCCCCTCCTACGCCTCGCTCTCGGTATGGCGGACGGCGAGCGGTCCCCGTTGCTCTCGGATCTCGGCGATGGAGCTTTGGGCAGTGGTAACGGCGGGGTGTCTCCCGGAGCGGCTCCACACGGTGCTCCCAACAAACCGCAGAGTGAGTAACGTTAGCGAGCGCGGCGCTTTTCTGCGCTGTCACGGGCCGCGCACACACACACACTCACGCACACCAGTGCATTTACTACGATCTAGGTTCGGTACAGTTTCTGTGCGGTTGTTCGTGCTTTATTTTGCATGCTGTTGGTGATGATGGAGGCAGGACCTGAGCGGATGGTTTTCTGGCGGATCGCAGTGGAGAGGCAGGTATGCTGCTCCGCATATAATGCAGTTGCGTACGATACACCTGCGTCCGGAGGATGATATTATTTTGACAAACAAAATAATGTTGAATTGATCCTCGCATACCTTTGTCATCCATCAGAGAGGCTGTTACGCAGCTAATGAATGAATGAGCATCACTGTTGGGTTGTTCAGGTCTGTTTACTGTTCTGTTATCGGCCTTCCCTTGACAAATTATAATAATAACGGGGCAGTATTTTCCTAAACTAGTCATATGACTGAAGACGACTGTACAAGGGGTTCCAGTGTCCCCATTTAACCACATTTACCGGTGAGTAATTACACATTTACAGTAATCTGCCGTATCCGCCATCTCCAGCTACACCCAAACACAGGTGATTAGCACATCTTCGGACCATTCAGAAAGCCTGAAATTATTGCCTGAGGAGACCACAACCAATCATTGCGCAGAGCGGGCGGAGCCAATATAAAGTTACTAAAGGGCGTTCTGGTGATGTTGGGATGGCGATTTTTAACTGATGTGGTGATGCTGGTGAAATTTTATCATAACGATGTTTAAGTTTTATCACACTGACATTGGGTTTATGACTTGATTTTGGGAGCTTTCAAAGAGTAAAAACTACTTCAAATATCCTCACAAATCAGTTTTAACATGTTCCACTGTATTTGTGAGCACATTTTCAAAAATGTGGCCCCCACAATTATAAGCAAATGTGTACATGATCTACTAGGCACATTCCAGCAGTCTCCTTATAAAGCTCCTTTCAGCAGATCTCGAGACCAAATCTGATTTTCTTGTTAATCCTAATGGCCTGGGTGACAGAGAACAGTTTCCCCTTCCCTAAGTGCAAGTTTCAGTGTTCAGTTTAAACTTTCAGAAGTAAATGAAACTTTCATGTTTTACGCCATTTTATGAGCCAATATTTCCAGTATCTTTGCCAAACTGATAATACTAATTCTGTTATGCAGAAATGATGGATGTACTGTATAAATTAAATATTTAGAGCATTGAAGTTGTGATTGTAAAAAATTACACATACATGGAAAAATCGTTCACAATAAGATCTCTAACATGCAATTTGATAATAGATGGGATGAATTTTACTTTTATCCTGACTTTTGGTGCAGTAAAAGTTGCATGATTGTTTATCATAATCTGCGATGGCAATCTCTTCCTTTTTAGGTTTTCCTCCGTTCCCAAGCTTGACTCAACCCCCTGTGTTGATGAGCGACAACCCTCCACCATATTCCCCCCTGACGTCTCCAGAGAGTGGCAGTGCCCCAGTCATCAGCTGTAGGGTGTGCCAGTCGCTCATCAGCGTCGAGGGCAAAATTCACCAACATGTGGTCAAGTGTGGAGTCTGCAATGAAGCTACAGTGAGTTAGGACAGAGCACATGTACACTTTATACAGGATTTAAAAACTCAGGACGGATTAATTAGTTAACTTGTCAACTTTTGAACAATTGTAAAATTCTTAAGTTTTGACTTGTTGCTTGTTTGACTGTTTGCATGCTACAGCTGTATACAGCTATCAGCTACAACTGATTCAATTCAAAATACTGTTATTGGTCATGACTGTAAACAATACAGTTTTATCAATGCCAGGAATATGCACAAATTGAGTAATTGATTCAGTTAAATGTAATAGGGTTGACGGTTTATGGGCTTTTGTCAGCAAATATTTATACACTACCATTTTAAAAGTTTGGGGTCAGTCTCTTATGCTCACCAAGACTGTAATTAATTTTGAACAGTAGTGTATATACATTGAATGATTCAGCATTACATACAGTAGAATTAATTTGATTAAAATAACTTCATGTAGTAACCACACACACTTTCATTTTTGGGTAACCAGAATTAACTCTGTCTCTTTTCTGTCTCTCTCCTCCTTTCTGTTTTTTTTTCATTAACCTTCATTCTCTCCAGCCCATAAAGAATGCCCCTGCAGGGAAGAAATATGTGCGGTGTCCTTGTAACTGTCTTCTCATCTGCAAGGTCACATCCCAAAGGATCGCCTGCCCTCGGCCTTATTGGTAAGAGAGAGAGAACAGAAGGAGACAAAGTTAAATTTAAAACGAATGAAGTCTTTGACACTAATAAGCGTCATCTTGTCAGTCAGGATTGTGCATGTGAAGAATTAAATGTGTTTGTCTACTTGTCTGGACTAGTAAGAGGATCATAAATTTGGGGCCAGTCCATCCGGGTCCAGCCAGTCCAGAACCACAACCTGCTGGAGCTAGAGTTTCCTGCGGACACTGCAGCAACACTTTCCTGGTACATGCATGCATAATACAGCAACATCATACTGTATCATTATCCGCTGCAGTGACATCTTGACTGAATCACTCGGCTCAGGTTCAGCACCAAGTCGAATAAAAGATGGCTATTTATTCTTGTTTTATTTATGCTACTGCCTCGCATTAGCTGCTCAATCACTTTCTCAACATTTCAGTGGACTGAATTTACTGACAGGACGCTGGCTCGTTGTCCCCATTGCAGAAAAGTGTGAGTATTTCTCAGCCAACATTCACGACACGTATCGCATGTACCAAATAAATCAAACTCTTTTATTAGATGGCAAATGAGTCAACATTTAGTCTCTCTGTCAGCACCCCCTATACACAGCTTTAGCTTCTGAAATGCATTGCTGCCTTTTACTGGCTGTAATTTTTTCGATGTTGATGAATGTCCCATAACATTTTAACATGTCCTAGCTTATTGCTTATAGACTATTAAGCTGTTCGTTGACTGATTCCCTCATATCTATGGCTCTTGTCAAAACATTGCTCTGTTTGTTTGAGCATACAGACAAAGCAACATAGGCTCAGCCAATGGCATGAGTTTGGGGCGGGACTAACTGTTTCTCCAACCAATAGAGCACTGCAGTGATGACATATTTTTGTAGGCCGGCCCAGAAGTTAGCATCACCTTGGTTCCCTCAACAAAAACCCAAGTAGGATTTTCCATTGGATTTTGGATTATTGCAAAAAAAAAAAAAAAAACTCTGTGACCAATATTATTCTTACATAATTTTCGCAAATTAACACTTGAATTTGAATTTGAAGCCTAAATACAGTTGTCAAAATAAAAAGCAGAACATAGGCTATGAACTACACCATGGTCACATGACTTCAATGTCCTCAAATATTATCCTATTATTCAGCTCTTTCAACCCCTTTTTCTCTGAGAGTTGGTGATAAA